TTACGTTCTAACGTAAACCGTAACGAACGTACGTAAAATAAAATAAACGAAGATAGGTAGTACTATATTAAAAAATTAAAATAAGTAGTATATATATATATATATATATATGTATGTATGAATATATATATCTATATAGTTTGTTTGTATGTATGAATAGATATATATATATATATAGTTTGTTTGTATGTATGAAAATATATATATGTGTATAGTTTGTTTGTAGTTAAGCACAAAGCTACACAATGGGTTATCTGTTATATACCCTCCACGGGTATTGAAACCCGATTTCTAGCATTATGAGCTATCAGACTTGCTGCTGTGCCACAGAGGGTCATTGCACCCGCAACGCTTATTCCGGAGGAGAGGAGTAAACAAACGATCCATAATTTTAAGTGTAGTGCATAAAATGAAAGATATGTAGCGCTCTTTCAGCGTTGGAATATTAATTAAACAACAGATCCACTTTTAATGATACTAATATTAAATGATGTGATGTATAAACAAATAGGCAACCAGTGATATAAAAAATAAACAGAATGTTTCGTTTGTTTTAGAATTTTCGCTCACAACTACACAAAGAGAGAGGCATATCTGCGCAAAGTCGTCCCTAATTTTGAACTGATAGACTAGATGGAAGGCATTTAGACAACAACACACACCGCCAACTCTTGGGTTACTTTTTTTTGGTCGATTAGTGGAATTTGACTGTTCTAATTATAGCATGCCCACGGCTCCAAGGTGTGGAGTGCATTTTTGCCAAAATGTGCCGTGAACCACCAATCACCGACTCACAATTCCAGCAAGCTTGCCACTAGGCAACGCCACGCCAGGCCAGGACTATGTCTTGTTTGAAAGCTACTTTGATCAATATATAGATTAATATATCAATTTCATTAACAAATTGTTCACACTTTACAGACTATTCCAAGAGTGAAGTAGCTTGGAGTGTTTCAATGCTGCAATATATTATTATAAGATAGATGATTTACAAATACAGGTGAGTATGTTATAAGAATTGGCAATTACCTTTTTGTCAAGTGTTGCTTCAAGGAAAACTTTCCCTGTGCTAAGAGGAAAGTCTTTGTGGGTCGAAGCTGATGGTTGGCCAACAATTGGCCACAAGGGGGCGTACTGGATCTTCCTTATGGCCAAATTAACCACACTTCTACAAGAAAATGAACAGATGGTTAGATATATTTCTTTGTTTTTTAAAGAAAAAGTTAGAGATAGTATACTGTACACATCTTACAGAGATACTTTAGATAATGCAAACAAGTTAGACACGTTTTTTAGATGTTCTACATCTGCATTTAGGTATACTATCTATCTCTCTAGAAAACCCAAGTAACTATGGAGACAGCATTTTTCAAAACATTCCCTAATATATGTAAATGTACTTCATATATATATTTGTAATCAGATGAACAGAGCAAACAGGCTTTGCTGTTAACCTTTAGGTCCGGACAAATTTAATTTATATATGTATATATATATACTGCTGTAAGCAATGAACTTTCCAAACAAATAGCTTTTATCCCCCTCAGTTTGCGTACTTGATTATTTAAAGCATTGAACGACTTTAAAAATATATATATTTGATGCTTGGAAACAAACTAAGTTAAATTAAATAATTCTTTTCCCGAAGTTTTTCGTTGTGGATAAATCGGCGACTTCTACGTAAGACATTTAAACTGATTTAAAAATTAGATGGCGCGCACATAGAGAACAAACTGTCAGTTACTTTGCTAGCCTGGGTGCATATGACTAGAGGCAGTGTTCTAAAACTTTTAATTTCACAGCAGCGGGTAAATTAATTTTGCGTGTTATGTTGAACAAAGATTTGATGGAAATGTCGTAGAAATAATTTTAAGCATAAAGTTTAATAAATATATATAAATGAACGATTTTCATCGGGGAAGTGATTACTTTTAAAAGTATATGTTTATAATAATAATCACAAGTTTTAAGCAATGTTTATACAACAATAACCACCAGATTTAAGCAATGTTTATACAACAATAATCACTAGTTTTAAGCAATGTTTATACAACAATAATCACTAGTTTTAAGTGATTTATTTATACAACACTTAATAATTAAAAGTTTTCACTTATGTTTATACAACGATTAATAATCACTAGATTTAAGCAATGTTTATACAACAATAATCACCAGATTTAAGCAATGTTTATACAACAATAATCACTAGATTTAAGCAATGTTTATACAACGATTAATAATCACCAGATTTAAGCAATGTTTATACAACAATAATCACTAGTTTTAAGTAATTTATTTATACAATACTCAATAATTAAAAGTTTTCAGTTATGTTTATACAACGATTAATAATCCCAAATTTTAAGCAATATCTATACAACACTCATTAATTACAAGTTTTTAGTTATGTTTATACAACATTAGTAAACAGAAGGGTTTGGGTGTTTATACAACACTTACTGATTAAACACTTTCCGTAATGATTATACAACACTTAATAAACAGAAGTTTTCAGCTTGAAATTGGTGCTCCTATTGGGCTGTGAACATATGGTGTAACACAGGTACCAAAAAGGTCATATAATAAACGGTCAAATGAACCTATCAGCTGTTCGTCTTTGTATACATATATATCAGAAGTGAAGAGTGCATTGAAGGAAGTAAGGTTTTCGTGACCAGAAAAATTACTTAGGAAAGAGGGAGACGCAAGCTTCATAAGTTGATAATTATTAATTCTCAGTTTCAAAACATGTGGAAAATCAGCTTAAAAAAAAGGAACAAAAAGTTGATGAGGATATTTTCTTCATATGCTTACTCAGTTCTTCTCAAGGCTATTTACTTCATATGCTTACTCAGTTCTTGTCAAGGGTATTTTCTTCATATGCTTACTCAGTTTTTGTCTTTGCTAAATAAATTTGTGGCTGTCGCCCCTATCTTAATAAACCCAAAATCATTAATTTGCAAGACGTAAAGCGAAAAAATATATGTATATTGTCGCGTTTAAGAAAGTGCATTGTTGTTATAAATTAAACAGTGGAAGCTAAATATTGTTGTAGAGTAAGCGCCCTTCTCGACCTTCTGTAAACTTAACATTCGAAATAATTATTTACAAGTATTATAGATTGGTAACGAGGCTATTCTCGAAACCTTGTAAAAGAACAGGATTATTAGATAAAATCACGACCTATATCATCAGAATGTAACTTAATTAGCTCAATATTTCTCTATTACAGTTCCCCAATCCACGAAATATAGGTCGTGATTTATAGAAATGTCTCATAATAAACTCCAGTTTGTGTTAAACAAAGTTAAGAATAATAACTGCTGTTACGTCTCCGTTTGTTAATTAATTTTCCGTAACTTCG